CCCTATACGCAGAGTACGCAGTTTGCGCAAGGCACCAACTCTTACCATCCCAGTTGCTCAAAAAAAAAAAAACTTTCATTCTATATTAATATTAACATGTGCATATACATGAATACAAATATAAACATGAATATATATATATATATATATATATATACATAATTAGCTCACCAAAAGCTTAAACTGTGAATAGATTTTTTTTTTCATTTCATGAAATATGTTTGTTTTTGTTATTTACTGGTTTTTAATCATGTTTTGTGCCACTGAATGCTTTTGTACAGCTCTTTAGAATCTCTTTATCGTGCCTTTTCTAGAGCCGCGAGGCCTTACGATACAAATGAACCCAAAGCATAATTCAGACAATCCGATTTTATATAATTAGTTTTGTAAAAAAAGAAACCCTGGGTTTTAGTTCAGTGAATATGCATTAAGGGCATTACAGACCAAGAGCAAGCTCTGTTTTATATTCAAGACTCAGTATTAAACACAGTAGAGCATTAGAGACTCTATTTTTACACATGAAGTTGTTTCATACAGTACTTTTAATACGACCAGCTAAGAAATTAGGTCTATAATCAAGATGAATTATGTGTAAAGTTTTATGTTTATGTGTAAAGAATGTCACATAACCCTGTAGATTTTATTTTTCTATGTTTGATATCGGCCAATGAATGGAGCACCCAGTAGAAGTGACTTTGCGATCTTGTATTTTATTCCCCTTTATATAGTTTGTTTCTTCTCGATTGTAAGCTGTGGTTCATTTGATCCTGATGGCAGAAAGCGTCTGTGCTGCACAAATGCTCACTATTACTCTTCACCTCTCTGGAAAACGGAGGTTTTGTCTTATTTCTTGTTCTTTTGATTCTCCTGGGGGAAATATATACGTATGACAGAAAGCTTTTGTATTGCTTGGCCACTGAACAACGTTACCATATAAACTGTCCCAGTATTTGTCTCCACCGCTGTATTACTGTACCAGAGTTCAATAAACAAACATAAAACAAACTCAGTCTTGATGACTTAACAAAAAAACTCCTTTTGAGCTTTTTAATGATGATTATTTATAGTTTCAGACTGCGTGCACTATAGTAAAAGATTTTTCAAAGATCATCAGAGTAAGTTTGACGAGAAAATGCAATATCAATCTTTCGGCTTTTCACATTTAATTCAACGTTTCTTTGTAACTGAAATGTACTATCAATTTCTGAGTGAAAATGAAACCAATTTTTTTTCAGCGTAGGTACGTCAAATGCATGATTGGTTGAAGGTTGCACAGTGGTGTTGAATAAATGCGAGACGGTGAATGGCTGAGTATTGGTTTTATTCTAGCATCGAGCCCATCGTGTGTTCAGATCTAACAGAGCAGAATGACAATAACCCGCTGAGCTGCAGGCAAACACGCTCATCATATTCATACCGCCAGCTGATGTCCTTGTTAACTGTGACGTGTATAAGACACAATGCTGTCAGAGGTTAATATACAATATAGTACGCTGTATCCCTGCACATTTCCTTTTACAATTTTTACTCTTCTCACCGCACTCGTAAAATATCTTCACAGTGATTTTTTTCTGTACATAGTTTCCATATAATAATACACATCGCCCTTAAAATTATTTCACCCCACATTCGTGATGTGCCCCTATTATTTCTTAAACTGCATTCGAGAAGATTTTCTGCCGTGAATCTGGAAAGTCGATTTCTTGACTTCCATCATCAAAACATGAAACTCTCTGAACGCTATCCAGCACCGTATTATTCTACAATCAGACCGATGTTTGATGAACGCTGTACATCTTTTAAAATAAGTGACCTATGAATGAATTATCAGCCGTATCCCACACGAACCAACCAAGACCCTCTATAAACATGCTAAAAGTGAGCTTGTGGGAAATCTGCGAATCTTCCGATTTGGCAACGTGGAGTCTGTATAAATACACATTTACAGTGACGAGCAGCGCCTGCACTCAGACACCAGACTGGATTCTCTTTGATAGAGTGAAAACCATTTGGATCATCGTGACATTATATCGCATACTGAGCGAGTAAAGCTACTTTAACACACGTCATTGATGCAGAACAACACCTTTGCATACCTTAGTTTCATTAAATAAAGAGAGAGTGATGTGTCTCTACACAAACGAAGAAAAACACCAGTACGGATGCTTTTTCCTCCTCTTATGATTCATTTCGGGAAGCACATCAACTTATCTGATGGTCTTTGTCTTAAATGAGCAAATTCAAGTTTTGCTTATTTATATTTCGAAATGATTCCCCACACACACATATACATACAAATGTAGAAGGTCGATTTGCTAAATCTGAAGCTTGTTTACACACCATGATGTAAATGGCTTTTAAATGAGAGCCGATTCGTATTGCACAAGATGTTTTTGGGGAAGTATTTCACTTTGAACGCAATCATGTGTTCACACTGAAGTGAAGGTATAATTACGATGTCAAGACCCTTAACCAAGACTTGCATTTCACAAACGAGAACAAATCCTACACCCAACGTTTGTTCTCCGACTGCGTACAGCAAAGCGAAGCCACATTTCGGCACACAA